AGTTTATAAATGTGTGTGTTAAGAACAGTTTTTTGTGTTAGTTAGGTAACTAAAGAGCTATATACACTGTCTTTGTCAAAGTACAACAATTGTAAAATATGTAATCACAAGTATAATACACAAGATATTTCCATAATTAATGTGGTTATTAGTGTTGTGTTATAATAAGTATACGTAGGCAGTAAGTAAAGTCATGATCTGGAAGATTTTAGCACAAAGTTCGTATTTATTATCTCCCACAAAGCGGGGGAAACGCCGCGGGCTACGTTTTGATGATAAAACCTTTATAACGACGAACAAATAACTTTCTCATTTAAGATGATTATAATCAGACTGCCATTGTTATTTATTGTTTTTATTTAATATTCAAGCCTGAATATGAAATGTACCTACTGAACCTTCTTTATCTGATAGTACCTATATTCTGAAAAGAAAAACTATAAAAAGCTATTTGATTTTACTATGTTAACTGAAACACGCGGCGTTTGGGCATTGTATCAATCAGTTTTTTACGACATTGTTTACCATGAGCATGGTGTGTGACGTACAAGAATAATGTGACACGTCATGGGTTTACTGAAATAATTAAAAAAAAACAGAAATTTTATCAATTGATTAAAGTATCATAGAAGTCACTTTTTTTAGTGCTAGGTCGGCAAACGAGCATTGTTATTACCACCCATATAGCGCCACCCACGGACACCCCCGCAACAACAGAGAGTTACGAGTGCGTTGCCGACCTTTTGGTGATTAGGGATTCGGAGATTTAGGGGTTGGGGGCTGGGGAAAGGGAAGGATTCGGCCTCCAGTAACCCACTCACACGGCGAAACAACGCAGTGGTTGTTTCACGCCGGTTTCCTGTGTGGCCGTGGTTATAACTCCGGTCTAACCGACCCATTCGTGCCGAAGCATGCCTTCCCACATTTGAAGTTATCTTCATATCTAGGTATATCGTATCTACCATGGACTTTAAGCGCTAAACGACAAAGTTGAAATATATTAAAAGTAAATGGACAGATTGATTGGTCTGCTAGGAGAGTTCGTGTTGAACTCACGTTTGAGATCACCAGATCATCAAGGTCATAAGGCAGTATACTGATCAATAACACAGGTTAGTAAATAAGTCAGAACTATACCTAAAGAATCGATAAAATATATTATGTCAAAGTGAAGACCAAACAGTCCATCATTTGAATCTACAATTACTTACAGACATGTTTGATTACTTTCTATAAAAAAGCCAAGTTGCTAAATACAAAATAGTATTTTTATTTACCTGAAGTCTAGGAATCAGTAAAACTTTGAATACTTAAACCGAAAATCTCAATGCCTTTCGGAATGCCGAAATAGAATCGAATTAATCAAAATGCAAAGAATGAATATGGACCTTATTTTTGAGACAAATGTCTTCCGATATTTCAATAATTTTGGAACAAAATGTCTATGGAAAAGGCAAATATAGTACAACTGTGCGACTGTCCAACCAATACCTATATTGGTTAGGCAGTTCATAGGTACACACAACTATGACGTATCGCCCTTGTTATTGTGTTATATGAATTAATAGGACTAATAAAGGCTTTATTTATGTTCAAAATGGTTCATGACGTGTGTATGAGCTGTACTGTACAATATGTACAGAAGAATGTAAAATGAAAGCTGAACGCAATAAGGACAATGATTCATTTCGTAAATATATTTTTGTAACAAAGGATTAGCTGGACGGACTTCAGACTGGAATGAAATTTCTTTATGCCTTATTTCTTTTCGCGAGGCACAAGGAATTGAATCAAATTGATAGAAATGAATATGTGCTCTCAGCTCCTAGCGTGTCTTGAAACTGTTCGAGTTACGTTACATTGGCAAAGTTTATATGAGATAGTAGTTATTTTTGTAATGTTTTGTCCTTTAACTTACAATCTATCGTAAGTATCAAAAAGTCCTAGGCATATATTGATATGAAATAATTACGATAGGTACCAACCGCGTAACTAGTTTTAATACCTACTTAGGACTAAAGACAGGTGTGCTTAGATCATTTTTCATATAGATAAATATTACTATTTGTTAGCTAACAAAACCAAATTAAACCAAACTACGCGCAAAACAAGGAATCTGACAGCAAAATGTATCGAAAAACGTCTTTGTCACGTGAGCGTATAAATAAATTTAGCAGACTCATGAGAGTTTCTTACAATTAAAAAAAAACTAATACCTTGAAAAAAAAATGAGGACTTGAGTCGAGATGAGTCGTGTTGTGCAGTTTAGTTATTTAGGTAGGTATACCGACAAGAGTATAGTTGGATAGCAATGATGAAAGTTTTCAGATTGTATTTCTTTATCTTTTTATGTAATCTTATCGTAACATGTTAATTAAAATATAAATAAAGTAGGTACATACAGTCTACCGTGATGTTTAAATTATCTAGTAAGCAACTTCAATATTGTATTCCACGAGTACGTTTGAGGACCTCTCCATAACCATATGACAACGGATTAATGTCGTGACGATGTGACGAACAATTAATTATTTATGCAAAGTACGTCAACGATCCTTCTTAGTGGACACTTCCATCACTCGGAAGCATTGAGCTATCAAATTCTTAATAGCTGGCAAGCAGGTTCCTGCGGGTACTTAAAAACTATTCAGTACTAAGTACGTAGGTACCTATAAACAAGCTACGAATAATGAGTAGGTACAATGTTCAGTTACCGAATAAAACGACCCCTGATATTTAAATATGGATTTTGTAACAAATCGATGTGGCTGTCACTTAGTCACACACCGTTCTATTGTTGTTTATTATCCTATGTTCCATAACTGTCGCGCAAATGTTTAACCGATAATATTAACCTTGATAATATTGTTGATTTTAACATTTAATAAACAAAGCATTTACGAAAACTGATAGATATAATTAAACGTGAATTTTCTTCAGATCGAAAACCGGTACATTTTTGACGCAGTGGTTTATATTGCAGGTGTTTCCATACATGCCAACGGTTATCGCTACCAGAGGATAATAATAAAAACAAGAGCACTTACTTGCAGTCTCTGGGCAGTGTTTTGATGAACACGTAAATGTGCCTCCTATATCGGTAGACGCAGGGCGCTACAGCAAGGATGACGAATATCGCCGCCTTAGAGAGTGTACTGAGCACGGCGGCCATCGCGGCGGCCAGTGCCATGAGAGCGACGAGCGCTGCCAGTATCGCGTCCATGCTGGCGGGCAGCCCAGTAGGGCGCACAGCGGCTAACTATACACCGGTAACAGATAAACAGTACGGGTGAGTACGATGCGCGATCACTACGCACCGGGGACGCGCGCGTCCATCAACACGGAACAATTTCGTATAAATGCGGGAAGGACTCGGAGCACGGAGCGGTGCGTGTGCCGAGCGAGCGACCGCGTCAATGGCGGAGCGCCGGCCCACAGCCCCCCTCGCGCCAGCTGCACATGCGCCGACAACAGCTGATCCTCGAACGGTAGGCGCGCTATGTTACCAACCCCGGTTAACACATCTGAGTTTGTGTTTGAGTGTAAAAAAATACCGATATAGGACGCGACAATTACAAAATTTTTCGCGGATATCTTTGTCGAAGCTGTCGTGTCACATAATTTTGTATTTCACTGATAGGTATTCTGAATTCAAAAATTTTTGTCAATGGTCATAAAAAATAAACGTCAAATTAATAAAAATGCATTCTAAAAGTAGGTTGACATAGTTATTGTTCTTCTACATCTACATTTTATTTGTTATCATGATACTTTTATCAGTGTCAATAAAAGTAAGGCAGTATTAACTTACCTGAATTTTTTATATTGTAGTTGGATGGTTAGTTGTTGGCTCCGCATGCGTTGACAGGTGCAATGCTCGCGAGACGATGCACACGCTCTGAATTTATTATTATTCATTAATAATTAACTGCGGTCATGGCCACGTAGACCACGATCGGAGGAGGAAGGAAATTGTTACGGGTACTGTTGTTATTAGATAGGATCCGTACAAATGTGTTACATAAAAAATCACATAAAATATTACAGAATGTCCAATTGTTCACTTTCACAAAATACATTTTTCTTAAATACTTACCTATAATATACCTATTTATTAATTAATTAGGTACCTACTTGATATTTTTGCTCATCAGAATGAGATATAACAAACTCAAGGAATTAAATCAACAATTTACTAGTGTAGAAAGGTAGGTACCTAATGAGCGTTTAGTTATTTGAAAAGGTACAAATTCAGTAGGTACCTACTTTTTATTAAGCTCAATTATTTCTCTTAGTGTATTTAACTTCTTCATCATCATTAGTCTATTTTGCCCACTGCTGGACATAGACCATCTCAAATGTTCAGCTCTTCTCATCCAACCATTGCCAATCACCCTAATGTAGTAAAAACCTCACTAAGTACCTATCACTCTACTTGCTTTCGAATTAGTTTCAAACTTGTAATGGTAGTTTTAAGTTTTTTACTATTTCTTTTTATAATTTGCACCCAATTTTTACATACTTAGTCAAAGATAAAGTAAAAATGCACCAGTTTGGTTGGAATAAATAATTTATTCCAACTTAACAATAAACAAGTACTTTTGATACGTTAAAACTAGATATTGTTTGTTTAAAGTTTGTGTTTTAGATTAAGGTAAGATTTAAAAAATAAATTAGCTGGCCGGGAGACTTCGTACAGCCTCAAATATAACTAATGTACTTATTTATTTAGTTATATTTTCTGACCTTTAAAACCGTCCCTCGACGAATAATTCAAGATAAAATAGCCAAATCGGACCGATAGTTCTCGAAATGTAGTGAGACTGCATTTCATTTTATTTTTATATATTAGAAGATAAATGTGAAGTATTTTCAGTTCATATTTTACTAGGTGTGATAGAAAAACTCAATGGTTAAAATTTTTTATAGGTATCTTCCTGAACCTTTTAAACACGAAAAATAAAACAACAACTTACGAAAATATACATTTAATGTAATTTTTTCCAACATATCCCATACCATTAAATAATTCTTAAAACCTAAGTATGTAACAAAAAAAAAATTAAACACAATATCCGAGTATGATCTATTTCAATCTTAAAGAGACTCTCGATCTGACAAACATAAAATCTGTTATAACAAATAAAATTTGAGGCAAGTATTTTTAATAAAAAGCACAGTATTTGTTATTATATATTAATGAACAATAAAAACATTATAATAATGAGAATCCTTTGTTATTTTATTTTTATAATCAACAATATTGTGACGACAGCTCTAAAATTAAGTTAATAATATTAACGGATAAGCGAATTGATTACAGAGAATACCACACCAAAATTACGCTGTTTTTTAAGTACAACACACAAGTAGAAGCTTTGATTTGAGCGTCGTAACTATTAACTACCTTTTTAACACTTGAAGAATAACAGTTGATTAGAAGACCCAAATTTCTATAACTCTGTAACAAACCTATCTAGTTAACATTTATGGTCTATCTGTTTTAGTAATTAATTAAATGTTAACAATCTTGGTATTTTATTTTTAATGAAAAAAATGTCTAAAGTCGTATGTAAAAAGGTTTTACCAAATTTGATGATAGATAACAAACTAAAATTTAAAATCTTTCGAGTTTATACGACCTCTTTTATGTAAAAAGATACACGTACCAAGTTTGTTTACCTCTAGTTAACCACCTATATAGACACATAAATTCATGTTAAATTACCCTTTTTTATGTCAAGTAAGAAATTACTTTACACTACATTTTATGCTATCTAACTTTTATACAAGCAAAATATACATAAACAAGTAACATAATCAAATATACCAACAATTATCCATTTTACTAAAAGACAAACACTAGTATACGGTTTTTATTTCTGTTTGACTTCCTTTTACAAATGTGTAAGTACGTCGCTTAAAAATTATATCAGAACAGACTTCTTTGAATAACTACCGCATGCCATATTTTTCTACCACAGCTTAAACAGATCAGTCCATCAGAGGTGCTAATTTAATTTAATAAATTCATAGATTCCCAACTCCTTAAGATCACAACACATATTTAAACAGCTATAGTGTTTAAAATGTGAAATATATTTTAAAAACGACTTTCCGTATGGCTTTTGAAAACTGCCTAGGAATGTAAGGTGTCTAAAAGTTAGAGATATATGTTTAGCAAAAATAGACACATGTGATGTTTCATGGCGACAGAAAGAAGCACAGGAATTAAAATTGCCCATCTTGTAAAAAATAACAGTTTTTATAAGATATTTTGTAGCCACATTTAAAACAGACAAAACAGAAAAATAGGTCGGCGTAAAAAAGGACTCATTCCCAATTGTCGTTGACACGAACACTCATGACAATCGACGGTATTCCACTCAATATATCTCATGATACAACTACGTAATTACCTTTAGGGCAATTCTATTAAGTAGTTGGCGATTTTTCATACTCCAGTGATCCTTAATGCAAAAGATCAGCACAGGTGTACTTTCAAATCCATGATGAAAGAGTGATCGGAATGAGTTCTCATAACATATGTGGCGCCACTGTCGATAATGGGCCAAACAGAAAAATTATTTATAAAATAATGTTGAGTGAATTTGAAGACATACAATAAGTACTAAAGATTCCTCTATTAATACATATTCATTTTGAATACACTGTAAATGCAGAATATAAGGAAAATGCACATTCTATGCTAAGTCTTCTATTTTGGAAGCTGTAACATCAACGGCTTAGTTTTATTTAACAACATCGCTATTGAAATACATTTAACCGTCGTACTCAGAGTCATTTAACGGTCACTTAAGAAAGTTTTAAGCAATTGTTTTCGACCCAAAATAATTACTCCGAATGAGTTAAAGAAATCATTAAAATTCTGAGTACAGCAGTTATTTAAATATGTATATTTATTTACACCTAGCTACCTCTACGATTCAACCGATGTAAAGTGTACGTAATATAACCGAATTAATTTAACTAAGAAAATTTTGTTCTCGTCGCTTTTATTGATAATCTACTGTATAACAACGAATGTAATGTTCAAAATCGAGTATCAACGTGGACAGCTTTGCTTTTGAAAAACAACAATAGATAGAAAACGCACAATAAAAACTACTTATTTTACGGTGAATGACGTTATTATTGTAATTCAATACCGTTTTTATTTTTCATTTTCTTAGCTAGATAGACATAGCAAGTCTAGATTTACTAACAGCCATTCTAAATGATTAATCGATGGACAAATTAACTAGATCATCATCTAAACAAACCATGACACAGGACTGTTGGATTATGAGCCCCAATTATTTTATATGGTACCGTGGCGGCTCAGCAGATGTCTTCAAAAATTGCTAGGATTGCTTAGACACCACTGATATACATATGGTGACTGACTGGTGAAGGAAAACATAGTAAGGAAACCTGGACTGGAACTCGAATTATAAGTTTGTAACCGCCAATCAGCTTTGAGCAAGCGTGGTGGTTAATACTCATACCTTGTGCAATTATAAGCTGAAGATGATGATGCTACTAGCAGTCCAGCTTATTACTGATCATATTATTATTTTAAGTACATTTTCAACAACAGAGATCCAAAATCCACAGATAAATCATTAAGAATGGTTGTAAATGTATACAGATAACAACACGAAGACAACAGATAATAAAACAGATCACAGCCTAATTTGTCCACTAATAATTTTGTCATACTCTTCGACACCTAGCGGTAGATACCGACCCTGTTTCAGATCTAAATAATAAAGTCTGTCTTTCTTAGCTAGTTTCGGGTCAAAACCATCCTTTTGTAGATCAGTCTTCTTCATTTTAAATGTACCTGTGGAATTGAAATGTTAATTATTTTGATGTTATTTACATTTATTTATTTATTATCTACAAATATTACATGTAATGCCATAATTGTATCAAATAATACATGATACTTAAATAAAATAGAAAATTAGATTATATATTAAGACAAATTATTTTTTTTTTATAAAAAACTTGTTAGCTGTACAAAAACTCGCTGTATTCGTCGAAGTCCAAAAGAAATGAGAAAAAAGTTGAAATTAAGATCCTAGACAAATTACGAATTAAATGACGAAATAAAATAATTTAAATAGGATGAGATACGACAAAACTCTATAGGGTCTAAGATAAGATAAAAAAAGGTTTTATGTGACTCACCAGTCATATCTAAGCTGTCCATGACCCTGATAAACACGGGTCTCGCGTATACGGGCAGGTCTCTCGCCAGGTCTCTGCATAGTTTATCCAGGTCTAGGCTACCATCAACGTCCACGATACCACACATTCCCGCTCTACCTTCCGTGTTGGGTACCTGTGGTAAGAAAATAGGAACTATTTTTAGAATATCCTAATTATGTAGTACAGTTTTTTTTTTGTATGATACGCTTTATCTCGAATGTTCGACCGGAATAATACCACAGCCTCACAAAAATCGCCTTTGTTGCGGGGGAACGGGGGGTTTTTAGTCAGTAAGAGTCTGACACTCCCTCCCGCCCTACCCTTGGTGGGAGAAGCCATTTGATTATTATGCCCTGACAAAAAAAGCCTCACAGAAAACCGGCGTACCCGCGAACAAATTAATTGTATTTCGTCGGTATCGAATTAGTTGCATAGTGTAGCCCGTAGTCTATTCCCGCACGGAACAATCCTTTTTATGATTCACAACTTGATTGCACAGAGAGACTTGAGCACACACCACCTATATTCAGATATAGGTGGTGTGTGCTTGCGAAGTTATTTGTGTTCCTATGTTGTGGGCGTAAACACGCCCATAAAATATAATCGTTGAGCAGAAAAACATTATCACAAGTTACCTTCTTCCCATAGTTGTTATAAAAAACTAGTATCCATGATACTATAACTATAAATCTAATAAACCGAAAAGCCGTGTAACACTTCGTCCTAACCCAAGACTTCTTTATCAGTCGGAAAGTCGACTTGTGGTCAACAACGGACATCGTGATTAAAGACGAGATCCGACTGCGGAACTACTAATCGCAGAACCAAAACTCCTGCCTTCATAACATATGATGAAACAATATATATTTGTGTATGATCTTTATACATTCGTTGCTATTTACAAACTACGCTGCCAGTGTTAGTAAACAATATAGACTGTTCCCACGGCTAGCCGGTGTGGAACTGGCGTTGAACTGTAGTCATAAGCTTTGACACGTACTGCCACATTTTACAGACCAGGCCGAAAGCACCGTATTGCTTGACAGTATACCTGCACAAACCAGCCTCAAAAAACCAGTTTGCGCAAATAAGCGCATGCGTGTCGAAGTCAAGATGGTTGCTCAAGCAGTGGCTTGCGCAAACTTTAATTCGCTAAGGATTTGGACGGGGCAAGCCACGCTTAGTAGGTACTCCAACAGGAAAATGACTAGGAATGCATAGTTTTCAAGAGCTTGTCTATACGTATAGCTCAATGTCACTTTTTTATTAGATGGGCATTTCTCCACGCCTTTTACGTGTTTAAGCAGTACAATTTTAATCTGATCTGTCTGCTACAGTACATTAACCGCGAAATACCCGCCACCGAGTTGTTTACACCCATTCAGACAGATTTGAGCAATCAAATCTGTCAAATGAGTTTGTTATACACTGATTGCGTATACACTTGGCAGACAATACCTTATTCATTCACATAACATATATAATGTATAATGTTATATACGGTTTGTGGTTTAAAATAGTCATGTGTTGTGTATTTGTCTATTTACAACAATACGCTCTTTATCAATTCCAGGTGACATTTGATTTAGTAGTTTGCGCGGCAGCTATTTATTCGCCTGCTACGCAACGTGGCACGGATAAAATGCCCGCACGAAATAAGTATTGAAGGTGGCGAGGGTTCAAAGTGAGTTCTCAAGGGCGTAAAAAAGTCCGACACACGATTGACAGGAAAAACATATTGGAAACGCTCTACAGGTAAACTTAAAATAACAGAATAAGTTCGCAAGGCAACTTGTGGCACATTTAAATTAAATTTTTACAACGGGGACTCTGCCCCTTGTACGCCTTCCGAAGGTCCGGGATTCTGTGATCCCATAAATGGAGAACAACAATAATAATTCAAGGTTCGCGGTATAAATACTGGGCGCGTACGTTACGGCCATTGGCGCGGGACTGTACTCGCGTTTCGCGCCTACGCAAGCGTTGAGCGATCAGTGACAGGGTATAGGACTTGCCTATAACGCCACGCACATGCATCCAACACAAACCGTTGGAATTCTGCGTTAATTATGTATCAGTAAATTGTAATCGTCTAGTCAGGCCATGATAAAGGAAAAGATTAGGTTGTGAAAGACTACTGAGTCGATGGATTAGCTGGGCAACTGGCCGCTTGTTTCATTCCTGCATGGAAGAACTTTCTGTGTAATCCATTAATTATTTATTTATTCCGAGTTTTGGTGAGATACCTATGTAAAATTGTAAGTTTGTTAACGCACAATACAGGGAAGAATCTCAGCCTAGCTAGGGAAAATTTATAAAAAAAGGAATATTTACCAATACACCATAAACAACAGCGTCTCTATGGTCAGCAACTCTAGAAATGGCGGCTTCAACCTCTGTTGTGGAGACATTTTCTCCGCGCCATCTGAACGTGTCACCTGTACGGTCGCGGAAGAACAAGTAACCGAACTCATCTGCTACTAAGATGTCACCTGGAAAGAAATTATCTTGGTATTATTTTTTGGGAGACTATGGTCATGGGAAACTATAGTAAGAAGTTAAAATTTATAATTTTGGTAATTAGTCTCAATAACAGAATAACGAATACGTGTTTGACTGATTGAAGTGATTTATTTGATTTGTGCCTTCTTGTCTGCAAAGAAGAGAATTTACAAATGAGGCCTTTGGAAGCCAGATGATTAGATCCTGGTTATCTCTCTCACACGGTGAAACGGTCGGAATGTTGTGTCATTCTTGCTGAAACATGACTTTCCTAAATGAACCTCTAGATAAGCTGCACCATGTAAAAATACTAGTATTTATCATGCAACTTAATTGTTTATATTTTCGTTGAAAAGTTAGAATACATAAAAAGATAACAGTAGCAACAAAAAATCCTCTAGAAAAGACATACCTGATATAAAAGCAGAATCTCCGAAATGGAAGACGTTCTTAACGACTTTCTTGTCTGAAGCTGCCTTATCCACGTAGCCGAGGTACTGACGCGCTGGGTTGCTGGCTTGGATCTTACCGATAAACACTCCTGGCTCGTTGGGTTCCGCTAACTGTAGAAAAAATATTTATTATTTATTCATTTATTTATTTAAAACTTTATGACATACAAAAAATACATACAAAGGCGGACTTAATGCCCGAAAATATTTGTTTTTAATGTGATGCGCAAATGGCGCAAATTTTCCTTTAGTCCTTGTTTTTAACTGTCATGGGTATCGAAACATCTTTTATGACCTGTAATCCACAAACTCATTTAAATTTGTGTATTTATTAATGTTTCTTTTAAAATTTCTTCGTTTTTATTGAATTTAAATGGCTTTTGTTTGAAACATTTTAGAATTGATCGGCTATATTCAGTTGTAACAAGAAATCGGTCGTCGCGTCGATCAGTAAAAAATACTTACATATTATATCTACATCTTATATCTATTTTTAAATAGATATATTAAGTATGTATAATACTTAAGTATTTACTTCCAAAACCATATCTATTATGTATGTTTGTCATAATATTTCGTTTAAATATATCCAAATACACATAATTAAAATTTTTATTACCTGACAAAGTCCTTTAGAGTTTCGGATAGGCTCTCCGGTCTCTTGATTCACTTTAATGATGGCGATCGGGTATACTTTCGGGAATATTCTGGATACAAATCCAATGGCGCCTGGTGTACCGTCCACGTTAGCTGTAACATTGATAAAAAACCAATGTAATTGAGTGTGTTGATACTATAATGTAAATCTTTATTCTACTTTATTCAGAACAATACAAAAGTAAGTCTTATTTCATGGCAATGCAAGAGGATTTAAACATCTATAGATCCTTTCTCTAGCCCTCACTAACCCTGCCCACTTGACCTTGAAATGAAATTTAAATCGCCATGGGATTACATGGATGTGACAAGAAAAAGCCTACCTAGCTAATACAATATACATTTTGCAGTTTTATTAATGAATAGTACCTATGTTGGCGTTTCCTTCAGTCGCTCCGTAGAACTCGGTCACTGACTGGATGTTGAATCTTTTTACGAAGTCTTTCCAGATCTGAAATTATAATAAACAATAAAAATAGTACATGTAGGCAAAACATACTGAATTTAAGACTAGTATTTTATTCAGAATTTTGGACCACTGTGTAAAACGCTCAGAATACAGAACAAACCAGAAGGCGTCAACGCGCTTCAAACTGGAGCAACTAAAACCACTCTTAACTCGAATAGTATGACATTTCTACAATTAGTCAATTTTGGCACGTGGCATGTCGTGACGTATTTACGAGTATCAATTTTAATTTTATTATGTCGTCTTGTGTTATTCCTACGAGTAAAAATGCGGCTGGAATTACGAAAAAAGTGCATAAGATTACATTTCATCTGCAAGCACGGACTGCAATAGTATATTTAATTAATTATTGAATTTTTTTTATCGATTTATTTTTCTATGAAAATGAAGCGGCCATTTTATGAGTGTTGTCATTTTTGGTGAAAATTTTACTTACTTATTTATTTGTTGTGATTTATATTTTTGTCCATTATGGAGCCTATGTCATATTAGTTTCCCTGCCGACAGTAAAAAATCATACAAAGGGCACGGTTAGATTAATTTTGGAAACCATCCAGCCAGAGCATAGCTTGCTCAATTCACTTTGAAGAGATATATTTATGACAAAACTATAATTAGGTAGTATAGATATACCTTAGTAGGAATTTGTATGTAGACTTCTAATCTTTAGTTCCGAGTCTAAAGACAATACATGTTATAAAAAACTAAACCAGCAAAAGGGAACGCAATTTACGCAATAAAACCTTTGTACTTATTGAAGCTTTGTTTTATTTGTTGTGTATAGTAGGTGTAACTAAAATTAACACAGCCAGAAATCGTCAACTTTTATGATACCTACCTCCATGAAATGTGTGAACAACTAGTCTGTTGCATTTATCGTAAGTTTACCTATTTTTTTGGGTTTACCCAACAAAATATATCTTACCCTCCTGTTGTAAAATTACCCCAAACAAAGGGAATTGTTCCACTGTCGGCAACACTACGCGGGTGGGAAGTGCGGCTGGCGGGGGGATTGACGTATTGTTTTTGGACACATTTGACGACATGCAAATAAGAGTGAACGCGGATTCTGGTTTGTTCTGTATTCTGAGGTAAAACGATGGTAAACTTTTTTCATCGAGCGAGATGTGAGCCAGAATCTACTAATACTACTGACGGTTTTGTTATGTAGATAGGTGATACCTTAGAGCGAAGGTGCGGACGCAGCCGCAGGCGGAAGCTAGTGCCCAATAATGTACAACTTTTTACTCGTAGTTGCTATTGTTTCATACTTTCTGCTAAACATAGTAATGAATTTTCTGTAATAGTGTACGACCACAACAGTTTATCATTTCTCAGCAGTTTGAATGCTTTATTTTTTTTAAATACTTCGTACTTTGTTCGGAATAGGATAATAAGCCAACCAGTCTTCTTGCATATTTATTTAATTCTCTATAGACTTAATGAACATCCTGTACATAACATCCCATTAATATCGTTCATCATTATTTGACAAGAATGAGCGCGTTGTACTTTGAACTTTATTTTCAATATAAAAAAGAACTCAAACTCGAATTTTCAACCGCGTAAATAATATTAAAATGACGAAAGGTGCGACTAAAATAAATTGCTAAATCATTGTTCGGAAAGGGAACAGTTCTTTGTTTTTATTCTTATCAACATACAAAATGAATTTAATTCCTTACCTACATACATTGGTAAGTAGTGTGTTTACTGCGTTTAATAAACCATTAAAAACAGCTGAGTCATTTGTAAGCGTATTCTTATAAAATTTATTTGCGTGGGAAAAACACTCTTACTACTTACAACATAGAGACGTTATAGTAGTCGAGCTTGATATGTGGTTGACCTGTGTTTTCATTGTATTACATTTGTCTTCATAAAATGAGCATGAATGTCAAAGTTCATTGCCCTCTTATTATATACGATTTAAATTTAAGATTTTCATATTGTGTTTTTTTTTAATATTGCTGAATAATATGCAGCATGATATACAATTAAATAAAAAAATACATTTGTAGATGCTCCGTTCGGTAGTGAATAATTGACCTACTTTTACATTAACAATTTAATTGTTTTTGAACAAAAAAGTTGTTTTGGACTCTTCAATTCTGTATTTTTTTTGCTTCGTCAATTCTAGTTTAAGTTACTATAGTCAGACTACATTTTGTATTTTATGGAAGATCTGGAGTATTAGTAAAATAAGCCTAGGCCTGAATCTCAAAACTCCAGGGCCACATTACATCATAAATGATTGTCAACATGTTGTGTAACTGCCTATTGTTGTATAAAATTACTCAATCACAATACATTCCATAAAAAAACTACGACATAATGTCTACTATGGCAATTCAACTTTATGTCCAAGCAATAAAACCTATAATCTATCTTGCTAATATTATAAATGGAAAAGTTACGACGTTTGGATGTTTGTTACTCAATCAAGCCAACACGGCTAGACGGATCTGGGTTAAATTTTGCACAGGCATTGCAAACAGTCTGGAATAGGACATAGGCTACTTTTTATCAACATACCACGCGGGCGAAGCCGCGTGCGTGAGCTAGTCTTTAATATGTATAAAGTTTGTTTACTGACTTGAGGTCTAAGTCCGTTGCCATAGATCACACGAACGCTGTGTTGCGTGTCCGCTGGTGAAGGGGGCGTGGCCAACACGTAGCGACACATCTCGCCTATGTAGTGGGCAGCCTGAAAACAAACATAAATGACCTTAATATATCGGCTATTACTCAACATAAGTAACTTAAAAATACATTCATTATGTTCTGAAAAAGTAACATCAATGAGTAGTAGAGAAATGTCCGAAATTATTAAATAATCGTACTATGTTGGTAGTATAAGTAGTATGTTGCATTTTTTTTAAGTAAAAAGCCGGAACTACTTCCCTAAGGAACAATGATAACTTACTAATCACTGGCAAAGCGGAAAGAAATGGGCCTAGAGGCAGAAGTTCAATACGTTGCATAGGTTAGAATCGCACCACTCTCAACGCTATAGTCCACGATGCTCGCCACTCGGCGGTAGATAGAAATAAATGGCGGAAAGAAATACTCAGTACACTGCTTCCCACCTGGTGGTCACGACTCTCAGCATTAAAATAAGGAAACCGTCGCGAGGAGGTACAGAGAAAAAAGAGGGTGATAACATTTTACAAGTCTGTGTGCATATCCGAGAATAATAAACAGAATCCAGAGAGACATCAATCTTATACCTACATATATATAAATTCTCCTGTTACAAGATTTAAAAAGCAGTCTCGGAGTAAGGTTAAGGTTCGTACTCCGAAACTGCTTTACAGATTTTTACCAAATTTTTTATTCAGCTGCTGTAGGTATGAGATTCTGCTACTGGCAACTTTGCATATCATATCCCTAACAACAAAACAACGTTTGCTGGTTCGGCTAGTAGTAAATATAAAAATATGTACATATTAACTTGCAGAACAGTGCCTAATACATAAAACAATAAACATAACTGCAGTTTATTTAATCGTACCGGCTGTGATGATGAATTTATATCGACCTTGAATACTTAATAACTTGTTGAATATTGGACTTTATCTCTGAGTTATATCATTAATAGCGTTCTATTTTATATGACTATAGAACAGCTAGCTACCTTTTTTAGCTAGCGTACCTTTTTTATGTGTGGTTGGTAGATTGAGTTTGCTTTTGGTTTTCGTCCTTTCATAATAATATCCAAACGGAGCTAAGCTATAGTACTAAAATGATATATTACTTTCTTCTTTCGAAAATGTGTGTTGATCCATGAAACAAGGTAAGACAGACATCCTAATGGTTTTATGGAACTTTATTTTTGTATTAAAACTAATATTTAATATGTGCACTGTTAATAACAATAAATTTGCACTAAACATACAATAAGATGTTACAATTGTTACAGTTTAACGTGTTTAACAATTACACAGCATGAAAATACTGCATACACTGTTAATGTACCTACATGTTAATTATAGAAATTGCAATTATATATATAATCATTGAATTCATTAAAAGTACTTACGAGTTTAATTTATTTTATGTTCCATACAAAAAAGTACATTAAATAGAACAAAATCTCTTTTTCATAGCAACTTATTAACCACAGACCAGTTATTTCCATGCTTTGCTAAGCGTAGCAAAGTAATTCAAATACACATTAAATATACCTACCACAATCATAGTACCTAAATACTTACCTACATAACCGTATGTAAAAGCAACTATGGCTTAAAAACGTCAATACAATTTATTTGCTTATTACCGAACCACATACTACTTATTGGCCCATTACTGGGCCCATATTCACTACAAAGTACTAAGCAAAGCAAAGTCGACCTTAAACTCATATACATAAACTTTAAAGTAACTTGTAACCGTAAAAAGTAATGTTTACATACCGTAGCCTTATACTTGACACAGTCAGGGAAGTATTGTGAGGCAGAGAATTTTGTTTTGAGGGCGACTGTACAGCCAAATATAACGGCTTGGCCGACACTGATCACTCCTCCCGCTGTGTGATAGAGAGGGAGAGGGCAGTAGAACACATCGTTCCCTTCCAAACCCATATAATGAAGACCAGTTGCCATGAACACAAACCTAAGAAAAAAGGAAAAAATGCTTAATTATTGAAACATGGAAAAAAGCCATTAAACTGGCATGGGACTTCGTTTCCCTGGAAGCATAGAGTTTTAAATTAATAATTTACATGTGCTATTTCGGACTATCAATCTAAAAGTTGAATTCCATCTGGATCCATACTGGAGTTTTAGAGTGATGTATAATAAACAAACACACGTTCGTGCATGATAAACATTGTACATTTATATCATTTGTTTATTATTTTTTTTAATGGCTTTCCTTAAAGAACACAAAGATCTTCTCCTGTGGCATGGGTGCGTTTACAATTTCACATACGTAGGTATGTGACATCACAGCCAGACCCGGAACAACAATTTGTTGATCACACAAAGAGTTGTTCCGTGCGGGAATCGAAACCGAGACACGTTGTGCGGCAGCCAGTTGTCCAGCCACCGCGACATATGTATATCTAAGCTATACATCTATATAGCTTAATGGGTTATATAAATATGTAGCTATATATCTATATAGGTTGGATAGAATAGTGTTTTTCTTTATCCTAATTATGTCAATAATAACAATGAGATCAATCCTTAGACTCAAGATCTACTGTTTTTTAAGTAACAAAGATGTGTAAATATATGTTTACGTCAAAACGATGAAAATGCAGGTACTTGTAAAAAGCAATTGTTTGTGATAATTGGTATTCATTGTCCTAAGGTTATCTGAATATACACGAAGAAGCCTGTCAACAATGTACAATTATATAAACATTATTATTTCCCTTTGTTCTCCGATTACAAGGAGGTTTTTATAAAGAGTCTAAAGAATAAAGAATACATAATTTCTACTTTTCAGTACAATAACATATGTACTTAATATGTATAGGTACATCATATTTTAATTCAGTAAGTGGGCAAAACCTTCATTTTCGATTATTTATAGCCAATTTTCAAATAATAAGTAGATACGCTATTTGACGAAAAAAATCCTCATCCTCACTCACACAATCTTGTAAAAAAATTAAAAAAAAATTTCTATATTGGCAATTCGCCGAAAATAAATAAATTTGACTTGTTTTCAAGTATCTACCCCAATGAACAAGAGATTTCATACATGATCGACGACCTTCTGACCAGTATAACAAGCGTTAAATTTTATGACTTGCATGTAACTTGTATAATACCCATATTTGACATTTTACACATTAGGTTCAGCTCGCTGTTAAGCTAGCTGTGGTGTTGGCGTCGTTCGCTACGCATCAACCTATAAGTCTCAGTGTGGTTCGAAACGAGACGAGTTTCTTGACTAAACCTTATATTACAAACTACAATAGAACATTTTAAAGGTATCTCACCTAGCATTAGAAATAACAGCAGCTTTAGGCAATCCAGTAGTTCCTGACGTATAGATATACAAAAGCTTTCCTTGGAACCCTTCAGCATCAGCCAAGGTCCAGGGTGCCGGAGATGTTGTCTCCACCAAGTTGGTAAAATCGGCAATACCATCACCACTGCTTTCGAACTTCGAATTGGAAGTCTTCAAAGGTCGTTGGGAGAATCTAAATAGCTTCAAAGATGGACTGAAGTCTTTTGCTACATCTTGGATAGCTGTAAAGAAAATAATTATATTTACTTTGTTAGAATAATATATATGTCGTACACAAAAAATTTGGCCTTCATATTCATCATTAAATACGTATTAAGCGTAAACATTACGAGTAAAATCTTCGTAAAGCCGCGTGCGTATGAGTGTCACTATGTCACTGGGTCGTTTGGGAATTCGTAAACGAACACCCAAAATGTTTTACCTAAATATAATGTCGTCGTAACTTACGTGGTAAGTTTTTAAACGTACTTAGATTTTAACACTGCATTTTTTTCTATACGGGTAATTGTGATAAGTAACTATCGCAAAACATCTGAATGCTGCTCATGAAAAAGATTCCCGTTCCGAACCTAGTTGAGTTTTTCTCCGATATTTCACGTGAGTAATTCCTCATTTTTAAAGAAGCTAGATTTTTTTTTCAGAGTACAGACTTTTCTGTTTGGGTATGTTTACAGAAATATTCATTAATTACATTTAAATCCAGAACAAAAAAAAATGATCAAACAAAGAATGACTGTGTGCTGGCTTGCGCAGTAGCCGATCGGAAAACCATTGTGCATATTATGTAGTACATTTTGCTAGATAATATGTAGTGTGTAAACACCTTAATGTTATTGCCTACGCCATGAAGCTATTTACCTATAGTTCAAAAGCGTAATTATGCGTATTACGCGTACCTATTACATAATTATTCAAAAATTTTAGCCAATGTATTCATAATACATACTAATGAGGTAGACACGTTAAAGACCATTAGAGGTATAACGTTTATATGAATTTAGTGTTATTATTATCTGTATTGTCTATTTAATTATTGTTTTGTTTAACAAAAGAATACCGCTTTTCAACAGCTTGTTAACATTTTTTATCTCACAATTTATAATTAGGTATGAATAGAGAAAAAAGTTGTAACAATAGATCATTTTGGTATGTCGTTTGACCCGGTTATGGAAGCCATGAATACGAGTATTTTTAGGCATGGCATAAACTAATTAATGAAATATTTGATCGATATACACAATGTTAGGTTTTGTGTTCCACTACCTTTCATATTATTGGGCAAAGGATTTTGGCAGAGCAGATCCGTTTTATCACTTTCAATAGTCGTTAATGATTAGCTAATAATGGTCTTAAATTGAATTTAAAAGCAAAGTAAACTAACAAAATAAAAGACTAATCTATATATAAAAATCAATGCTACTTTTCGTTGCAATGTTATAACTTAACAATGCCTTTACCGATTTGGCTTAGAATGTTATGTTATAAATTTGAAATTAAATTTTGGTTTTTAATTAATCGTGGACGTCCAGGGAGGGCTCAAAAGGACAAAACAAATAGTTATATTTGAGGCGGTACATACTCCGCAAGTTCAGTTAGTAAGTTATAAAAAATTTTTTTTTTTCTGCGTCTGAGCTCTCAGTTATACGGGTATAATATACTAATAGACAAAATAATATCTAATCAGGTTAGAAGTCACGGGCAGTTAAATTTGACGCTGGTCTTGTTCATATAATCGTACCTATTATTTGTTAGATAAAGATGATTCAGTACGTTTATTAACAATTAAAAGTTGAATATTTACATAAGTATTCCGTATTATGTTTGTTAAAGATAAGAGTTTAACTTCGATAAAACTTATTGTATGTCTCCTAATAGTTCAAAGTCCGGATGAACTACCTAAGTAAATTATATAATATTTATAAATAAGTATGTATTGTATACATACTTATTTGTAAATATTATATTATAATTTATAAAAACCTGCTGGTTTTCATAAAAAATATGGAAACTATCCAACAAAAAATATTTAAGCCAGCAGTTAGTTATATGATTTTAAGTTTTTATGTAAACAATATTGTCTGTCTCTATTTTTCTTAATACTTCCTCGAAAATATTTGTAAATTAAATATTTTTAGAACCTTCTACAATATTCTATCAAGTTTCATTAAAATCAGTTCAGTAATTTTTTGCCTTAATAAAAACATAATATAAACCTGTGCGCATAAACGCATTAAAAAAAAAACCGGCCAAGTGCGAGTCGGGCTCGCGCACAAAGGGTTCCGTAGCATCGTTTTCAGTGTAAGCACAATAACTTAACCAAAATTACAGTTAAATCAACCTATCTCAAAAACTATAAGAGATACTTTGATCAAACCAAAAATCGTTGAAAGAGTTAATTAGCATGCATCACCTCTATTTTTTTTAGAATTTTATACCCCGTAGTTATAAAAATAGAGGGGGGGGGACATACTTTTTACGACTTTGAGAGCTGATATCTCAAAAACCGTTCACTTTAAGAAAAATGTTTTTTAGAAAACTTTATATCATTTTAAAAGACCTTTCCATTGATACCCCACACGGGTATGTACATCGAAAAAAAAATTTTCAACCCTCAGTTACATGTATGGGGGGCCCCAACCCCAATTCTTTTTTTTACTATTTAGTGTCATAATTTTGTAGCGGTTCATACAACGCATATTCCCATCAAATTTCATCACTGTAGTACTTATAGTTTCCGAGTAAATCGGCTGTGACAGACGGACAGACGGACAGACGGACAGACGGACAGACGGACATGACGAAACTATAAGGGTTCCGTTTTTGCCATTTTGGCTACGGAACCCTAAAAAGGACCTTCGCTTTATACATACGATAAAGGTTAACATCAAAGAAGTTTGATTTATTTAGTTTCTGTTTTACCTAATAATGTTAATGTTCTTTCCGCTTCACGCAACTTTAACATAATCTGTAATATGAGATCTTCGAACTACATTCAGATTTTAATTGAGCAAGATTTAAGTACCGAGTACCTAAGGAACAGGGAACTAAATAATTAAGATATGTATTAAATGTTCCGACATGCCACGGCCCGGCTTGGAGCAAGAGAAGGAATGGGGTGGTGTTTTACTCAGTAAGAATCTGACTCTTGCCTCTTCCTAGTACAATTCCTGGTAGAAGCTATTTGATGATAAAAAAATATTAGGTACACATTTTATTTTACATAACTTAACTAAGTATGTTAGTCATTTGTTATGTGCCTATACCATAAAATTAAACTACAATACAGCACCTATATTGTGCTTAAATTGAGGTCTCATTATCAATGTGATAGATCTAGATAATCGAATTGTTATAAAGACAATTCAAGAATGGCGAAATTTAAATTTCCTTTTTTATAGGTTTTTAGATTCATATAGAATATCATGATGATAACTCATAATTGTATTTACGGTAATATAAGTATTTACACAATTTTACATGTACCAATAACAAAACTCTATAACTTAGGCAAGAAAGATACACAGCTACACAGGTCATATGTACCAAGAATAGCCTCAGACAAAGACGCCGAAACAAACAAAGATTCCGGCAAACTCGTACCGTAAAGTGCGAAGTAAACCGTCAATTATCAGAAGGCTCAGAGTACAAAAAAACCTGTTTCATTAGTCAAGTGTCTTACCAGATTGGTATTCGTCGGAGAATATCAACGCATCACATTTGGCGACATTCACTGAATGTATTAGCGCGTTCCCTCTTTGGTTGGTGTTTATAAGCGGTGTGATGGCTCCCAGTCGAGCTATCCCCATCCATAATGCTGGCTGCTGGGGGCAGTTGTTCACCAATAGCCCTACAATGCTTCCTTTCTTTATTCCTTGTGCTTTCAGTACGGCTGTAACCCGTAAACTGTAGTCTTCTACCTGAAATTAGAATGTAATTAGGACCAATTTTCACTCATCACTAATAAAACATGGTTTGTTTGTTTTTATGTATGCTACGTAAAACGCAAAAAGATGAGTTAGTTCGAGATTTTCTTGTCTATTTTTTTAACAAGTAACCAAATTATTTACTGTATTGTACTTCATAACCAAAGTAGAATTTAAGTTGTATACCAATCACTACGTATATGGATTACTAGCTACTCTCGCGCGGTTTCACCCGCAGCTCAGCTCCATTTAATCGTAGCGTGAAGTTTTATATCCTATAGCACTCAGGAATATTGTAGCTATTTAAGAGTGAAAAAATTTTAGTAATCTGTATAGCGGTTCCAATTATAGTAGCCTCTACATACAAACTTACAAATTTTACCTCTTTATAATATTAGTATAGAGTAGTACAATTATCTGTGCTGAGTTGTCCTGTGCAAAAACAGGTTTTCTATAAAAATAAATATTAAACAATATTTATTTCAAACATTTCATCAGCTGCACAACATTACATTTACAAATTTTTTGGAAATAAAATTACTAATTTAATTTAAAATAATTACAAATTGGCAGAATTTGTTATTTGTACAAACATTCTTAAATAAGTTGCTGTACTTGAATTTCTGAACAGTTAACAATATCAACTCGGATAAAATTGGATCAATTACTTTAACAATCAAAAATAAGTCATGAAAATAGGTTACCATTGACGAAATTGTCCTTTTAACATCTTTTCAAACTTATTTACATAAATTAAAACAATACTTCATTACCGAATTCACTAAATTCAGTTGCATAAATTAAAAACGTATGTGTGAACAAAACTTATGGGGCTAGAACATTAATGATTGCTCTGTTCTTCTTTGTTTTAATGCACTAATGTGAGAGCAAGTCCAAATTAAATTATTGTTTCTGATCTCATAATATTATTCTTCTTGAGGCAGGTTAGTTATAAAATTTTTACATCATAAAGATTTAATAAAACCTATCTAGGCTTAAACTATGGGATTAATATAAAAAAATATTAGATACCTATTCCAAGTGATGGGCATTTTGAAAACTTACTCTTTAGGATGTTACTCATACTACTTTTCTATTTCTAACAACATGGGGTCTCACTCAAGTGAATATGACGATGTACAGTATGAAGTCAGCTATTTTAAAATCCAATAAAACAGTATGACGATAAAAAATTTGACCTTAACTGCAAAGTTAATGGAATAACAATTTAATTTTGATTATTTTGCATGATATATAGCATCCATATGAGTTTTATTGTCTGAATCTCTCTATGATTTGATAGCAGCTTAAATAAAAACCAAATTGAATATCATTAACTATAATTGAAAAAGAACCAGACAGTGTAGGTATTTATGTAATAATCCTGAATATTAAATAAATGATACCAGACGGATTATACATAACAACATGTATGTATGAAAGATACATCTACAATAAAGCAAAACATAAAACTTTCTCCTTTGCAATAGCTATGTGATCAACTCCAATTTGCTTTCTAACACTTTCTTCTTAATTTTTATACTATTTGCTATATTTATAAGTATAATGTATGCATAGACAATACCCCTGATAGACAACAAAGGTTTCTACTATGATGTAATATGCCTGTGGGTATACAACATATGAATTTGTAATGATAATTCATTTTAATACTTATATAAATGTCCATTCAAAAACTATAAACTTTTTATTGTTTGTAAGTTGTACTTATCTGGGTACTTAATGCATAAATGCTTACATACCTCTTTGAAAGTCCAAACTTCATCTTGGAACAAGAAACATGGTTTATCCGGATGTCTATTGACAACATCGTGAAATATATCTGGCAGGGTCAAGTCTTTGCTACTAAACTTCCTTGTTATCCATAAAATCTTTATGTATGATAATAGAGCTCTAAAATAATAAACAAATTGATGTTACAACTCACACATTGACACCAATAAGTTGACATACAAACTCCATAGTGTGTTTTTGTAAATTCACTGTTACTAGAATTTTTTGAATTAAATCTAGACATTAGTAGAAAGTTTATAATTATTTGAGTAATAATTAACATTTTACAATTATAAATGCGTAGCGATGACGTGCCAGTTTAGAACCCTTACCTCAGATCTCTTGGAGTAGTTTTGATTGCGACGTAACACCATCGGTTATGGAATGCGAGAAGGTAAACAACACCAAGTATTATAATAGACACCAGCATACAAAGGAATCCTTGGGAGAAAAATACGGCGGCACAAGCGGCCCCGAGAGCGGCGAGTACGAGCACCATCGCGACCACTTTTCGCAACGTAACGCGTCTTACTGCTGAACGTCGACCCACCGTGACTGTCTGTCTGTTGCGCGCTGTGCGAACGATGACTAGGTTTAATTCATTCACTCGCACTATTAGCGAGACAACTCAAAAGGACGAACTGATAGCAAGCAATACACTTTTGAATATTACCCCGCTGTTTAAACACTCAATGATACTAATCGTAAATATTAAAAATTATAGGAATCCACTAAGTAAACAAGTTTTAAGCCAGTTAAACAAACCCTTAACGCATAGTACGCATACAGTTAAAACTAATAAGTAAAAAATATTCAATTTTTATATCGTTGGTCATGCAAGCCAATGTCCCACCGACATCCAGTGACTTTTCTTTATTTACTTAATAATGAGGGCACACTGTTTAAACCCGGATAACATTAATTATGACAATACGCAATGTATAATAATCTCAAGAATTAGATCGTAATTTGACGTTTTATTGCGTCAATGTCAATGTCATCGTGGAAATGCTCGCAGATGCGTTTTGATATTTCTAGAGCAAATTCAGCAGTTGTTGCTTTTTGTTTACTTTAGGGAACAAATTGTTTAACAATAAAACAAAATAATACAAATAAAATGTTTTATTACTTAAATAAAGAAACCGTTTGTCCGTCTTAAAAATAGAACATAAAGTAATCACTTAAGCCTTTAACTAAAATTGCTAAAGACTAATTCTCCGCTAATCATCGTTGCGTCCCATGTGTAAAATTATGGTTTACAAGAAAACCATATTTATCATGATTTCATTTACAAAATTCAATAAGATACAGTAATAAATTAATTATTGTTTTAACAAAATTTCGATACGAACTTTGCTGCAATTTGAACAGATTTTCATAATTATTTCAGATTTTTATTTATTTTCACACATATCTATGCATCTGCATATTGGATATTACCGACTTGCGGTTACAGAAGTCCCATAGGAGCAACATCAATAATACCTGCTTATTGATTTGCAATGAAAGTATCAGTTTAACTTAACTAACTACAATAATATCATAATATGCTAGTAGGTACCTTATAAGATAGTTACAAGATAGGCAGGACATTCTTATCTACTTGTATAAAAACAACCTCCGACCTTTTAGTAATTATAGCGATTGATATGATTTTGATAGTACAAAAATTACCTAGGTAATAAACACACACAAATGTCACATTTTTCAACATATTATAATGTTGAAGAATCAATTCAATAAGTCTTAAATTCTTTCCTAAAAATAATTACTAGTAGAACTTGCACTTCACTGTATCACATCCTTATTTTATAAGTTTTTTTTTTTATAAATAAAGGCACAATAATATCTTCATAGTGAGTTTGTAAATGTTCATAAAATTAAAATCACAGTCTAATTTGTCCTGACACAACTTTTTCATATTCTTCATTTCCTAAGGGAAGATATTTGCCCGTTTTAGGGTCTGCGTAATATAGCTTGTCTTTCACTAACGAAGGGTTGTAGCCCTCCTTCTGCAAGTCAACTTTCCTCATCTTGAAAGTTCCTGTAAACAAAGCATTAAATATTATCTACTTGTATTGAAAGAAAAATAAAGAAACTTCAGAAGTACCTATCATTGGGCAAAAGCCAAATTCATGACACGTCAAACCGAGTTTTAGATGGAGCAGGATAAAACTACTAAATGATCCATTATGCCTGTTATTTGATTATTTCTAAACATAGAACATTGTTGAACAATGCCCGTTCAACCGATATCTATTACAATTAGGTTAGAGAAAAAATCTCTCAAAAAAGCTCCAAATAAATTGGTATTCAAAACACTTTTTTATCCTACTAGGTATATACTTAATATTTGTTTAAATAGGATATGAAAACAAAACCTAATAAACACTTACCAGTCATATCAACGCTAGCCATTATTCTAATGAATATAGGTCTGGCGTACTTCGGCAAGTCTTTAGCAATGTCTTTCGCGAGTTTGTCCAGATCCAGTGTCCCCTGGGGGTCCACAATGCCGCACATACCTGCGCGACCATCCGTGTTGGGTATCTGCGAAAAAATAAGTGTTATGATACTGTTATTTTAAAAATCAATACATAAGTTAATTAAAGGTAGTTGCTCATTTTTTTACTTCTTATTGGACTTATTTTGTATATACTAGGATTTTCTCCTGTATCGTGTGTGCTTTTGTAAAATATAAATTCTCAAAATTTTCAAATTGAATCCAAAAACGTTTTGTACATTTTTGATTTGAGTATTTAGGCCTTTGACTGCCGCGGCCGACAGAAAACTATTAAAAGCAAATCCTCCGCTACCGTAGGTCACCGGTGACCTCGATGGCGCTTAACGTGTTAAGGCTCTTAGGTTTTATAGCACTCACCTCGACACCATAAACTACAGCATCTCTCTGATCTGCCACCCTGGAAATGGCAGATTCCACCTCAGTTGTGGAGACGTTCTCTCCTCGCCACCGGAACGTGTCTCCCGTGCGGTCCATGAAGTATAAGTATCCAAGCTCGTCAGCCGTTAAGATGTCACCTGTACAGAAAGATATGGGTACTTTTAAATGTGATAGGAAACGGCAAACGTATTATCTAATGGTACTACATCAACGCCGCCCATGGATACCCGCAAAAACGGAGGAGCTATGAGTGCTTTGATGATGTTTTTTTTTTTCTTTGCTGAGAAAAAGGTAGAGGGTATTAATCAATATGGATACACACCTGAAATGAATGCTGAATCTCCATAATTGAAAACGTCTTTAACAATCTTCTTGTCAGAAGCAGCCTTATCGACGTAACCGAGGAACGCTCTCGAAGGATTGTTTGGATTAATTTTTCCAATGAAGACACCTGGCTCGTTGGGTTTCGCCAACTGCAAACAAAAAGTATCTTTGAAGAAACTATTTCTTTTGTGATGTGAGAGTAATGCATCATAACATCAATAGGTTGTGACAGTCCTCTCCTGGCCACCTCCGTATTTTTAAGACTACTACTAAGTATGCTACGCAGCTATTGGTGTTTAGAACGTAAATCTCAGAAAGACACAATGGACGAGATTTATATTTAAAAAGATTTCGCATCAAGCGGTCGGAGATCGCGACTTCATATTTAGGAAAGAGTTGCTTGCTGATCTTGTGGCCTGCCCAAAATACTTCATCAAAAAGGGACCTCGAAAGTTCTTAATAAAACCAGCTAAGCTTCCAGTCTTCTAAAATCACTCACCTGACATAATCCTCGGTTATCTCTAATGGGCTCTCCACTATCAGGATCCACTTTGAGAATAGCGATTGGATATACCGCTGGTATAATCCTAGACACAAAACCGATAGCTCCAGTTTTGTTGTTAATGTTTACTGAAATAGAAATAGCTCTATTAGACCCAAGTACTTATTTTACAAACATACATATAAAGTAGTAAAAGTAAGCAAAATATTTCTTACCGATATTGGCGTTTCCTTCGGTAGCTCCGTAGAATTCGACCACCTTCTTTATGTTGAAGCGTTTGACAAAGTCAGTCCATATCTGAAAGCAATAAATAAATACGCTATAGGAACCATTGGATTACCGCAAAGCACTAAACACATATCTATGCAAACAATGTAAAAGATGTTTTCGAAGTAAATAATAGCAGAGCCCTGCGGCAATTGTGACACCTAGTTTCTAAGTTCAATGACTTTTTGCAACAAAACCACAAACTTACCGCTGGCCTCATTCCGTTGCCGTAAACCGTTCTGACTTTGTGTTGCGTGTCCGTAGGGGAAGGCGGTGTCGTCAGCACGTAGCGACACATCTCACCGATGTAGTGGGCAGCCTGATGACAAAATACCAATTAGAAAAGAGAAAATTTTTAAATCTATATGTGATAACAATTCTGAAATTATTAATGCAACCAAAAAACAACAGTAGGCCTATTTGTCAATACCTACAGCCGTTATTACAAATAATTACGATAAAGAGAAAATCGTTATAAGCCTTCAAATAAGGCTGAATTTAGAAATTTTATAGCGTTTAATCGATTGACTGAGATGCCTCAGTTCTCAGATTTGAGCTATGACGCTCGAAAATAGACTTATTTTGTTCGAATTGGCGACAAGGCTTTGGAAAAACATTGATGTTCTCAGCAATAAGTCAAAGCTCAAATCAAACGTCACGTTATACTTTCACTTTAACTACAAAGCAAATTCGTTTTTAACGAGCAGGCTGCGTTCGCGCATAAAGTTTTGATTTCTCTGCACTCACACAATGTAGCACATAAGTGCATCTTGGACTTTCTCCAAGCTTTCACTCACCGTGGCATTGTATTTAATGCAGTCGGGGAAGTATTTCGATGCTGAGAACTTAGTTCGAAGCGCTACGGTACAGCCGAATATGAACGCTTGGCCCATCGTGATGCAGCCTCCAGCTGAGTGGTACAGAGGCATGGGGCAGTAAATGACGTCACTCGCTCGCAAGCTGCCCAAATAGTGGACACCCGATGCCATGAACACCATACTGAAAAAAAAAGAAAAATGCTTAAATTCTTTAGAATGGCCATTATCAAGGTTTGAATTTTTTTGATGTACGTAAATGAAATTTGACCTCGAATGTTTGTCTCTATGCGTGTTATTCTAATTGTGATTTCAAGGAATCTTACCGTGAGGATGATATAACGGCTGCTTTTGGAAGTCCAGTTGTTCCAGAAGTGTAGATGTAAAGAAGTTTTCCATTGAACCCGTCACTGTCGGATGGAGTCCAGGCAAATGGGGCAGTGTTCTCTAACATCGCAGTGAAGTCATTATCGGATTCAACAACTTTTACGGCATCGGGAGATGTGTTGAGTGGGCGACGGGTGAACTTGAACAGTTTGAGAGATGGACTCAGCTCCTTTGATATCTCCTGGAATGCTGCAATTGGAAAGAACCATTTAGGAATTCTTATCACGTAAAAAAAATACGCCTAACGCTGTGGATCTAGACTAGATTTATATAGTTAGTGTGCTATCAATGTTTTTTTTTTTATCACAATGATTATAATGAATGGTTAGTGGATTCATATTCAAAACCAGTTATTTGGTGACACATACATATTAGGTAATGTTAAGAATGTAAACTTACCAGTTTGGAATTCATCGCTGTAGATGACGACGTCACATTTGGCGATGTTTATGGAATGTAGAAGCGTGTTCCCTGTCTGGTTGGTGTTGATAAGAGGGCATACGGCGCCCACCCTAGTAGCACCCAACCAGATAGAGGGCATCTCTGGGCAGTTCCCAATCATGACTGCTACGGTGTCCCCACGTTTGACGCCTTTTCCTTTTAGGACCGCCGAGACTCTTAAGCTGTATTCCTCCACCTGGAAAATAAGGAAACAAAAATGAATGTTTTGAATATTACTCTTGTTCTTCTTATCTTATCTTCATTTTCAAAAGTTTTTTTTTTTTTGGAAGATGTAGATGATATAGATAATGTAATATGATTAGATGTAGGTAGAATCAAATACATCTCATTTGTACCATCTTCGGATATTACCATTTAATAATTGACTTCCACGAATAACTCATAAAAGTACATAAGCTTTAATGTAATTCTATGTATACTATTCAACCACTCTAATCATGTACTAATATAAAAAAAAAATTAAGGCGCTGACATAATAAAATATTTGATAAAAACCCCTAAACAAAATGTACATAGGTACGTACGTTTGTTAATTTTTCACGTATTTAGTGGTCTTCTCAACAGTTGAGTCCCATATAATAGAGGTGACCATAAAATAATGTAAACACATCACCTGAGATATTTTCAAAAAATCGACTAAAGTTAGTTCAATGGTGTAAGTCTGTAAGTCAATGACCCGGTGTACCCATTATAATTGAGGTCAAAATAAAAGTGACAAACTTCATTATTAAAAACTTTTGGCGTCACGTATGGCTTTCCGGAGGAAATTGCTAATGTCAATCAAGGTAACGGAAATTACTTAAAATTTATGTTATTGTTGTATATTTTATATACTACGCACGCACTCGAATAAGTTTTGATCACATTAATAAACTTTTCATTTTTGTTTCCTTTACTTTGATTGCTGCCTTTGGTTTTATGGCGTCAGAAACTAAGTTACAGGTACACAAGACAATATGGTCGTAGTATTGAAAATTCTTATTATCAACTGTTTCGAGATAGGTAAATTTTAATGTCGATGTCAACAATACAGAAATTGCTGACGATTTTTAAATTAAACTAATATCAACCAAATACGCTACACCTTTGTAAGTACACTTCAGTTATAAAAAATAAAGGAATATTCCGTATATTCCGTTAGGTGCGCGAATATTTCCGGGCAGTTAATACCTTATGCAACACACATGCACTGTATAGGTTTACCTTTTTCGACGATTACTCCTATCACATCACATCATCAGCTAATAAGTGACCGCTGCTAAGCAACGGCCTCTTCTCTACACGGGGAAGGTTTAAGCATCAATCATCACGCTTGCTCAAGGCGGACTGGCGATTTCAAACTTATAATTACAAATTATAAGTCGAGGTTTCCTCAGAATGTTTTCCGTCACAGTATGTCAATGGAGTTTAAATAATAATAGAAAGTACATATAACTCAGAAAAGTCACATTGGTACTTGCCAGGTTTCGAACCCACACTTTCAAACATGAGAAGCGGGCGCCTTAACCTCCGGGCCATCACGACCTTTTTGCTTTACAATGGTAGAATAGTACAATTACATAACCATTAACAGATTAGAAATACGTCGGATGTAATGTATGTACCTATTATATTTTCACATAACTGTCATAGTAACAACAAACAGAAAGACATTACTTAAGTGTTACAACATGCATGTTAACTTCCTGTGAACGGTTATGTCAGTCTGTAACCATTACGAGTACACACATATATGTTGACATCGCTACGGTTTCTTCTTTCAATAAGTGAGTAGGCAAGTAAAGAGTACAGCGATAGTACCTGCCTTTGCTTGATGAAGTTGTTGGGAAAAGCTGGCCCTCATTTAAGGACTTTGTGACTATAAAAATACTTTTATATGCGAGAAGTCCTTAATATCATTACTTATATTTGTTACTAACTATGCCTTGCGCTTTCATCCGCATAATGCCTATCTTCTCTGTAATTTAGTAAACTTGCATGTGAAAGTGCGTTTGTCATATTTGTCACATTTTTTTTTTGTTACTTCTTTGTATAGAGACTTACAGAAGAAGCTAAGAGGGTAGCGTGCGGATGCTACTATTTTTCCGGGAAGCACAAAAACAAAGCCGTGGGTAACAACACTTACAGCTTAAGTCTAAATAATATTGTTTAGCGGTTTATTAGACAACAATTTTCTCCTAAAGTAAAGTTAAGCAAAGCAAAGTAAGTTAGAAGATATTATATGCAAAAAAACTGTAAGTAGGTACAAGACAATGGTCGTAATTTTATAAGAGAGAGACCTTTGGAATCATGATCGTCATTTGTTTTTGTGACTCCACATTTTTCACGACACAGGCTTACAAGACACAGATAGGGATCTAAATATGCATATAGGTACCTATAACTAGTAGGTTTCGTCAAGATGGCCTCTTCTTATGCAAAATAATAAGACAGAGAGGCGGCCTCTTTGGTTATTTATCCCGAGTTAAACTATAATACTATAACTATAACTATAAAAGTATATATATACTTTTTAGACTATTTAGACACCATTGACAAACTATAAAAGAAAACGTCTTGAGAAAACCCGGGCTTGGCTTAATCGGTAATCCGTCTAGAACATTGATTAACCTGTGGGGACTGTAGATCTAAGCGAGACACTATGTCTATTTCAAGCGAAATAATGCGCAACGGTCAAAGCCTGCAGGAGAAGGAAAGGTTTTTAATGAGTCAGAGTCTTACACTGCCTCTCTCCCACCCAGTGTGACAAAAACCAATTGATGATTTGACCCCCTCATAAAAGGGTATAGCCAACTCCTTCTTGAATTAAGAAACGTGAAGATATGTCTTACTATTTTATACTAGGTACTTATATAACTTTTACTATTTCAGTGTTTACCTGTCGGAACGTCCATGTTTCGTCTTCGAATAGGAAGCACGCTTTGTTGGGGTGTTTGACGACCATCTGGTGGAAGATGTCTGGCATGGACCAGTTCTTCTTCGTGAAGTTCTTTGTCAACCTCAGGATTTTGATGTAGCAGTACAGGGCACTGGAAGAAGAAGGTACTTATGTTAATGAACTTGTATTTTTGTCGTTTTAAAGACGTTCAGGTATCCGGTTTAGGAGTATTTTATTGTTGTTATAAAAATCAACACTTTATGATTGTTTTAACATCAATTGGTGCATTAAACTATAACGTGTTTTTATTGTTTCATTCAAATTTATCTGGACACAAAAAGAAAACAAAAATCTTTGTCGAAAATCGTAACATACCTAAAAAAAAAATAGGTTTTAGTTGGGTTTTAGTCACTATTTTGATTAAAGCAATCTACCTATTTGTGAATCATGCTAATTGTTATACCACAACTATGCAATACCTATTATTCATTTTCAGCACAAAAATAAATGAAAAAACAACTTACGAGAAATCCCTAGGTGCAGTTCTGATGGCTACGTAAATCCATCTCCAGTAGAAGGCTATGCAGTAGACTATAGCCAGGATAGCGAGGACAAGTAGACTGGCCTGCCAATCCTGGAACACCCAGGCAACGGCGCACGCGCCGGCCAACACACCAAGCGCAAACATGGCAATAATTGCCTTTGTCCAGGGGATCTTAGGACCAGCCTTCACAACAGCACCTTTCTCTATATCAGCGTTGCCGTTTTTTACCTAAAAATAGAAAAATAATCGTTGAGCAAGACCAACTCACTTGAACGTTGGATACAAACTCGATAATTTATCGGATAAACAAAATTCTGTCTGTTCGTTTTCCAATGCTAATAAAGATAAGATTGTAAAGTTATCTGCGGATTATTGGAGTGGACTTTGCAAGATTTTAATATGTACATTTCTATCTTTATGGTAACAAGATGTGTTCTGATTTGATTTGGATAATAATAGGTAACTGTCAAACACTGATAGGTACTGGCCATAAAAAAATGAAATCATTTTTGAAAATGTTTATTCTGACGAGTAAAAGCGATCTGTGTATTCAGTATACACTTATACAGATACGAGTATCAATAAAGGTAAAGCAGTGTCAATAAATGATTTATGTAGTGCAGATATTTATTCTTGAAATTTGAAACTAAATGTACAATAACGTTATTCATGAGGCGTTCATTATTCAAATAACGGTTAGTGTGGGAAAACCATGCTTCGGTGCGAATGGCTCGATTGAATCGATACCATGGCGTCTCAAAAACCGGCGTGAAACAAAGCTTACGTTTTTGCTTCCCCGTGTATGTGAGGTTACAGGGGGCCATAAAACAACGGAGGCACAACGCGACGCATTTACACACAATATTGTTCAACATCCACCAATCTTTAAATCCCTAATTAGTACTAATTATTGTTTGTTTCCATGGGCGTCTCTGACTGCTTATACCACAGGTCAGACATAAGTCTAGTCGTTAGCCGTCCTATCATAAAGAAAACTATAGGTACCTAGTAGATTGATTTGACTGCACGGTTGGTGCGGTGGCTGGGCAACTGGCTGCCGTGCAACGTGTCTCAGGTTCGATTCCCGCACGGAACAATACTCTTTGTGTGATCCACAAATTGTTGTTCCGGGTTTGGGTGTCATGTGTATGTGACATTGTATGTTTGTAACTGCACCCACGACCCAGGAGAAAATCGTAATGTGGGACAACGTTTAAAAAAAAAAAGATTATAAGCTGGGCTTTATAATCCAAAATAAATTACGCAATTCTGAGATTACTAGAAACATTTTCTGAAGGATTAATGTGCAAAAGTTTACCAAACTCCAATCATAAAAAGTACGAGGCAATAGCATGAAAAACTTTGGCGACACTAATAGAAACATTGCGTGTACAAAAAACATTGTTCGTTTGACATACAAACAGACAAAAAATACCGTCAAATATTTACCCAAATAATAATGTTTGACTAACAAAAATATTGTACTAAAACTAAAATTAAATATAAACTAAGTGTAACAAAATAAACTCAAAATCTTACTTTAGCTAACGTTACAAAGTTGATATTTTTTACACTTTTTGAATTGTAAAACGCAAAAAACATTCAGGTATATTTTCAAACAGACGAATAAAAATTTACGAAATGTGTATTTTTTATTTATTTCCAAAGTCGTAAAAGGACATGACGTAAGTGAACACCCGTACCCACATTTATTATTACAAAAATAACATTTTGTTTTTTTTTTTTTTTTTGGGGGGGTAGCGTGACAAAGGCGCTTACGGATGATAGCGAGCAACCGGCGACAATCACAAACACCCGCGATACTAGAGCGATTGCAAGTTGCGTTGCCGGTCCTTTAGTCATTAATTACAGATTTGAGGATTGGAGGAATTGGGGACGGACGGTGAAATTGGGGTTAACCAGTAGGTAACCTCACTTAGATACACGACGAAAGATAACGCGATTGTTGTTTTTAATCTGTATCGATCTCGATTTTTTAATCTGTTTCCTATCAAGTCCTTCGTTGTTGCAAGGCATGCCGTTGTTGCAAGGCATGCCGTTGCTGCAAGGCTGTTGCTCTTTCGCACTAGATGCATTTTGTTGCATTCAATTATGTACTTTAAAAAAGTATGAAAGAGAAACAACAGTTTAAGTGTGATCGCACGATCTCCGGGGAGGCGGCAAACCTCCTTACCGGATCATCGCCATGGGATTTGGAAGCCAAGGTGCTCGCGCGCGTCTACATTTTGCGCGCAGATGTCACCGTGCGAGGAACTTCTGTAGCACCAAATTACTGCGTGACGGATTGAGCCCCGGCGTGATCTCATGTCAGAGTAGAAACAACGTTTATCGTGACCGAGGGCCGGGCACGCTGTTATAGCAGCGGTAAGACCCCTCTTTGAGTAGTGAAGCATTTATGCTCGCAAAGGAGGCGGGCCGTGTGAGGCGAGGGAGCTATCTTCCTCCTCACGCCTTAGCCGTCGTGGAGATCGAGAGACGGTCTTGGGTTACCGTAAGCGCGGGTCTGCGGACGGCGAGTAAGGATAGCTCGCCGCCTGACCATAACCAGACCCAGACCGGAGCGAACGGTGCGTAGTGTCAAAGAGCCAATAGACCACCACACAGGGAGCCCTATACCACCGCATCCTCGCCCTGGCGCAGGAGAAGGAACACTTTTAGTCAGTAACAGTCTAACACTCCATCCTGCCCGACCCTGGGCGGGAAAAGTCATTGGATAAATTCCTCTTCCCAAAAAATAACTCTTAACGCATCTATTGTTCTTCTATTGTGTCTCGAATAACCACGATTGAGAGGTTAAATCACAATTTTATTAATTTTCCTGCTACACACTTAATGTAACGCACAACTTATTCCTACCTTGTCACACCAAGTCTATTTGCACACTGAAGTTTGAGTCTAGAAAAATGTACGTAATATAGCTAAATATGCATGCTAGCCTACTTGTAATAATAAATATACGCATAATTAATATGTAAAGAGGTATGTAATGGGTATTTACTTGTAAATAATATGCAGATTGGCCGTGACACTAGCCTGTATTAATCGGAATATGGAAATGAAAAACTAACAACAAAACATCCTACTAAGATCCTAACTAATATTATAAATGCGAAAGTAACTCTGTCTGTCTGTCTTTCTGTCTGTCTGTCTGTCTGTCTGTCTGTCTTTTCTTCACGCCTAAGCTACTGAGCCGATTTCTGTGAAATTTGGTACAGACATAGTTTGGAACTCGAGAAAGGACATAGGATAGTTTTTATTCCAAAAATCTGCAGGAAGTAACTTTTCCACGTGAACAAAGTCGCGGGCAAAAGCTAGTATTTAATAACGTGAAAAATTAAAAGAAAATTTGGGTTGGTTTTTAGTCAATAAGAGTTATGATGTTCGCTCTCTACAAAGGGTGGATGAACTGAATGGATGACAATCTCCTCACATTAAAAAAATCGTAAATTCATTTGCAGTGGTTGTGGATAAAGAGAACAACAGATCGATCCAGTGGTGTGATATTGGAGAGGGGAGGCAACTGTGGACAGTAACCAGCTGATAAAGATGAACAATCAATACTAAGAGCAACAAAAGTTAAATTTTGGGAGAGCCACGCTTCGGCACGAATGGCTCGGTTCGACCGGAGTCTACAACGGTCTCACAGAAAACAACCACAGCGTTGTGTTTCGCCATGTGAGTGAGGTTACCGGAGGCCCAATCCTTCCCTTCTCCCATCCCTCCCCAATCCGTAACTCCCCAAAAGATCAGCAATGTGTTCATCTGAAACTCCTCTGATGTTGTGGGTGTCCCAAGGTGCTGCCGTATGACATGAAAAATGACCTCATTTTACATTTCCTTTGTGTTTCAATAATTTTGTTTAACGCGCCTTGCATGGTCAAAGTAATTTCTTATTACACTTTAAACTCTTACATAAATTAAATGTTAACTAATACCTACACGAGTAGCTACCTAGCTATTTACTTGTCTATGTCGTACATAATTTGAATTTCGTCTGTGCCTATACTTGTTTACGATAATATTAATTTTAAGTAAAATCTATAAAGCGACATCTATAAATAGTTACCGCGGGCTCGGCCTGGATCAGACGAAGGAATAGGGGGAGCGGGGGGGGTGTTAGTAGTTAGGTGTTAGTGTTAGTGTTTTTATTGCCGTATCCTGGGCAAGAGAAATCATTTGATGATTTTCGAAAACGTTATATCTAGAAGGAGGCACAGCAGGATAAACCAGTAGCTAGTCAAGACTAAGATCACAAGCAAAGCGTTACTTGTTCCTATACTAATAACGAAGTCTCCACCAAAATGACTGATTCTTCAGGAAGATAATATCTAGATAAAGAGAAATTTATGTAGTGAGCAATTTCTTCGCTTAAAAAGTCGGTACAAAAGACAATGTAAATGAAAGAGATGAAAGTCTTATACGGTGAATGGAACGTATACCCCAGCACTGCCATATCCATAAAAATTTCTCTCATAACTCCCTGAAACAATAGGTACCGTGGATGTGCAACATTAATACTAAACGAACAAAACATTGATTAATTAGATTTAATGGTTATTATGGGAAAGAGAGAGTTGAGATGATCTTTGATCTAAATATAATTTTCGATTCGAGTTCGATTTTCCCTGTAGTCGAAAACAACAAATGCATCTCAAGAGTTTGTTTGCTTGTTTCAAAACGCTAGGCTCCGAAACTACTAGTTCGATTTAAACAAATACATGACGAAGCCTATGCAGATGAATCATTTGATTGTAAATACTTTTCGTGCCTGGTGTGTTCATTGTAAATACTGTGCGTGGTAGTTCGCCGCTCGACCAGAACCATACCTAAGCGTAGGTACGGCGCGTAGCTTTCCGCACGCGTCTCAAAGGGCCAATAGTCCACCATAGACGGGGCCCTATACCTACACCTGATGCATAATTTACACTGACTGACTTGTACATTATTAACAACATGGCAAGGAACAGGGTAGTTTTAGTTTTTAGTCAGTAAGAGTCTGACACTTAAATTCAAAATGCCACCAATAAAAATAAAACATAAAAATATTGAATATATATATGATTGGCAAATCATCATGAATATCAAAGAACTGGATTTTCATCTCGTGACTAAAAAACGTTTTCAACCTTTCGCAGGTAAGCTAAGTGAGCTTACCTACAAGCTCAGTTAAAATAAAAATAAAGGAAACAGGTCCAAAGTGCAACAAGTTTTTTATAAGTATATGCTCATAGGAATTGTACTTAAGTTTTCTTTTTTTCTTATTCTTTAAACCTGATTGTCTCCATTATCAATGTGCTCTGAATATCCATATTTTAAGGTCGCACTTGATTTTAAAACTTCGATAATAATACTTAAGGTCCAATTCCGTACGCGAATATACTAAAAGAGACGATTTTTTCGTATTACTTAAAGTTCACAAGTGCGTGGGCAACGTCGCGTCGTGGCGCGTCTGTGTGCGTTCACTCTAAATGTTGGTCCGTAGTTGATGCGTGCGTCAAAGAAAACGGTAAAAGATTTTATTATACATATATGTTTTGTGGGCAACCTACATATTACGAGTATAAAGTTAAAAAATTACTTCAATCAAATAGTGGAAATAATAAAATAGGTACAATATTAATAAAAAACAATAGAATACATAAACATGCATCGGTACAAAGGTCATTTTGATAATTAATTTATAAATAAATTATGATTCTTTGTTTTTCAATTTACAGAGGCGTCTTATTAATATTTAACTCTACTAGAAAAAAACTATTATTGTATCATAAATTAAATGTATAACCTACCTTTTCTGTACAACCAACTAACAAAAATAGATAGACATTTAAATAATAAATACCCGATATCTTTACACCTTTTCTAGGAATTTTTGAAAAAAGAAGAGTTCTTATCAGAATCTGTTCACCCGTTCTTGAGTTTTGAGCTAATACACACGCATTTTATTTTCTTTAGAATTAGATATATTTCACAATAAGACTACTAAAATTATTAAATGCCACGCGAGTTTTCCGGTTCACCATTCGACACAAACTAAGTACCTACAATTTATTCAACTGGTTTTGGTTGGATATAATTTAATCTCAGAGCTCAGAGTTAATTAATTTCTGAGATGAATACAGCTATTAGATTAGTAGGTATCTATAGATGGGGCACGTCAATTTTTTTTTGGTGTGCTGATGTGGGTATAAATGTGTAACTGTGTATCAAGCTGCACATTTTATGAACAGGGAAAATATGTATATTATGCGATTTGGGATCCTATTTTTTATATGGAAAAATGTTCCTGGTGGTGAGCAATTGTAATCCAGAATACCAGAGGAGTTACAAATATTTTGTTAGAATTTTGGAAAAGTTTGACTGCAAATAGATAGGAGGAGGGAGGACTGATGGGCTTTCGATAACCGCAATTATATGATGGAACACAACGCATACTCATCTACAAGGTTTAGGAATAACTTTTTTGACGCAACCAATTAGTGCGGCGAAGGCGAGAAAGTGAAAGAATTTGGAATGAAGATTGGCTGTCACCATGGCATAAAAGTTGTTTATCTCTCCTTTTAGAGTGGGAGAGCTATGCTTCGGCACGAAGGGGTCGGCTCGACCGGATTGATACCACGGTCCCACAAAAAACCGCCGGCGTGAAACTACCACAGCATTGTGTTTCGTCGTGTAAGTATGTGAGGTTACCGGAGACCCGATCCGTTTTTCCCAACCCCTAAAGGGTCCCAAGGGCCGCAAACTAACGCCGATTGCAATTGTTAACAGCTAATACGTCTGCTCGTTTGCCGTTCTAATAAAATTATTAGGTAAATAAGAATAACGATTAAAAAGTTTAATATCTTACCTCAAACTTGTGTTGGATGATATCTGTCTTGTTCATATTACTATCGACACTCATTTCCACGTTCGACATCTTCACTACTTAGGTATTTTTTTTATAACTTTTTGTAAATTCAAATAGTTAACAATCCCATGTTTCGGTGACACTCCTTGGCTTTATAATCTGCAACAAAAAAAAATTTAAGTTAAATAATTAAATAAGAATTTCAATAAAAAAACCAGCTGATTCAAACGAATTTTTCGTAATCGAAAACGTACTTAGTCCATAGGACTGAAAATAAAATAGGTAGGTATAGCTAAAAGGTTATCCGTTTATTTGGACGGACGGTTTTTTTTATTAATGTAGTCCTGAAACAACAGCGAAAGGAAACACCATTATAAATACAAACAAATAGAAAAATGCACGCACATGAATGGCTACGAAACAATTTTACGCTACTGAATCGTCTGCACTCAATCACACAATAGTACTGAGAAAGAATGCAAACATTGATTATTATGAATTTCAACTCGATACAAGTACAACAGACCGATATCGATATGTAGTGTAGGTATATAAATTGTTTTGAAAATGGAAGAATAGCGTCCTAACTACGAAATGAATTAACTGGTATTAATTATTCTGCTGCGAAAGTCGACTTTATGATCTTAAAAATAGGTCCTACATTGATCTCCAAAAATTTGGTAATTGGGAAATAAAAATTCAAATTTTTTGTTCGATTTGAAAAAAAAATTTAAAGTTTTCTTTGAATTAATTTTGAATGGGATCGTGTTCTGCGACGCCATGTTTTATTTTCCGGCCAAATATAGATAATACTTATTTGCATAATAATTAAAGAAAAAAAAAGCTAAAATAAATCAATCATAGAGGAAATCGATGATTTAGATACTTAGGTTAATTTTCATATACGTAAAGACGACAGAACATGTTATGTCATTAATTAATCTCATCAAGATTGTATGTCTGTATGGAACTATTGTGAGTTTTATCGTGCATTACTGATAAGAGATCACACTATCAGTGTCAATTAAGACAATTAACACGTAACGTGCAGTGACGGTTTCTTAACAATTAGATGTTACTTAATATCTTTAACTGTTAATAAATAGATAGTAATTTATATTGAAGTTAACGTAGGTATAGATATATTTTGTTAGTTTAGGTATGTATATGAGTACTAGGTATACCTCCTTCTTCCGTGTATAAATGTGTAAGTACAGCGTCAATTTGTGTGCAATAACACCATATACACAATATACCTAATCCATATTTAAACACTAACACTACTTCTGGGTATTCAATATATCAAAATAATATTATTAGGTAAGTCTAATAAACAATATCAATCAATTTTACGCTACTTGTGTGACGTGTACAAAAAGGAACGGGTCTATTGATGACATTGAGACCCGTTCCTTTTTCTACACGTCACACATGAATACACCATATCTTGCCACAATTCCCGACACTGTGCTGTTGAGAATGTCAAAAACTTTAAATACTTCTTACTGCTTGATAAAAAAACCGAACCCCCGACTTATATGTGGGAAGTAAAACAATTGTATGTAGGTATTACCCCATTATTGCGATACCGGAATATAATTCCTGTTGAATTAGCCGCAATGATATTTGTAACACTTTTCCTGTGTTTCAACCATTACGATCATACTATTGTGTTACAGATAAACTCTTGCGCATGTAGTATTATGGCCATCGCTACCCATTACATTTACCTATTATCTGTAATCAAGATGGCTGCGTAATTTTAAAACTGTATGCTTTTTTTCGCAATTTCCGTAGTTTATGTTTATGTGTGTTTAATCATTTTAATTAAGAATAGCTCTTTATGTACCTCGTTTAGCATATTCATGCTAAGTGCTAGCACAGTGTTAGTACACACGATTAGGTGGCAAAAAACCCAATAATCTGTCACTTATTTCGAGGTCGAAAGACAAAGTAAACGAAACAGCGGCGACAAAAGATCTTTATCAATCATAATAAAACTTATGCAGCTAAAATCAAAGAACCTCCACCATGTATGGTGCCCAATGGGGCTGATGTTAAGCTGGATTTGCCGGTTAAGCGCAATAACGTACCGCCTCTACGGCCGAGGGCAGAAGGAGCGGAATTGTTTTAGGGCATTAAGAACATAGTACAGCTATGACATCTATATGTTTACTGTGGTAAGAGTCTGTCACTCGCTCTTGCACTAAGGAGAGAGAAGTCATTTGACACATCTTTATGTTCGCTTACGGAAGCAAAAATAAAGCTTATTTTTCTTGTTTTAAATATAAATTTTGAATAAACATTAGCTTAAGATTCAGCCTTCAACCGTACGTAATAAATCTACTCAGGTAATTACCCCGAGAGACTAGAGCTAAAAAAGAAGGAGCGGCCATAACCTATATGTGCATAAGATAAATATTATTTAATTAAATAACTCTAAAGTGATGCGTTAATCAGATATCAATGCAAGATGTAATATTTGCCTACAGCTTAGCACATAATTCGCAAATATAGCTTGGCTATGTAAATTGAACTGAAGGACAGTCTAGTTTGATTAGCAAAAATAGTTTTCAGACTACGATTTATTACGCACTTATCATGATTACTTTACGGTTTTTTACCAAAAGGTAATTTAGATTGATTGTACCAACGCGCTTTATAACCAAAATTCGTAAAAAAATAAAAAAAACGTATTCTTATAGCGTGTACGTATGCCAATTCAAACAAGACGCATTGTTAAAATGCCTAACTAGTTTTACATTATAAACACCGATAATACAACACGTCAATAAAAAAAAAGAAAAAAAAAACTAAATTATTAATTTTTAATTCTAAAATTTTGCGTGTAATTTGGAATCGACGTGTAAATTGGAATTCGATCTCTGGTCATTAATTTTAAGATTAAATAATTTTAATCTACGTAGGTTTACAATTAAATAGTTTTAATACGTAGGCTTGCAAAAAATATTCGGCTGTATAGGTAGAACGTTTAAATAAAGTACCTATAGAGTTTTTTATGGGTTATGCATCGATCACTAATAAAGAACTAGATACACAATCAGTGACTTTTTAGTGTTCTTTATTAGTTATCGATGGGGTTATGCCGCAAACAAGCTAATGCGTTTCCTGATGGTAAGCTGGTAATTTTGAATTTAATTTGTATTGTGTACCCCCTTGTTTTTCAATTAATTTGTGTCTGTTATTGTTTGTGCTGAATAAATGTGTTATCTATCTGTACCTATATTTACAACTCTAAACGTATTTTGTTACAAATAAAAATAATAATTATTAAAAAACTTAAACATACATCACCCGTCTACTTTGTATAAACTAGTAACCCAATTTCTAAGAGATGGCGCTGTACTTTTGCTAATTAGGTACGGTGAATTGTGGTTTTCAGATTTACCTACAATAACTCTAAGTGGGGATACTCATTGTGACAGATGGGAAACTGCGGAACCCCACACTGCTTGTATAATAGGTACGCTCTTGGCCGGTCACGTTGCACTTTTCCGATAAATCTAGTTTCAAATATTTTAGAGCTTAAATTATGACACTTATAGAAATGTCTGAATAAGGTGACATAATCTTGAAACAGCACAAAAAATTAGATACATTTACATAGCTATAACAGAGACCTTGGATAAGACTAATTACCTGTGCTTTTTAGGCAACAAGACCTTCAGTTATCCTAAACCAAGAGGATAATCACACTTAATATTATAGCCTTGTGTTACTGTAGGTTATTTCCACCTTTAATTGGTCGTAATAAGGTTTATTTTTGAAGTGACATGAGTAGGTTCATAATATCTTGTTGATTTTAACAGCTGAATGTTTTTTTTTGTGTCAATGAGGAAAAAGTTTACTGTCAATTTTGGTTTTCTAAATATGTATTGCTGTAAGGATTTGTGATATTAATCAGTCATGAGAAAATTAAATAAAAAAACGTAAATTTTTCCCGTACATATTTACCTAAGTACTACTTTTTACTCCATAAATACAAATTTACATTCGAAAACCTAAAGTCGACAGCTAAAGTTAGCTAGATCTAGTATTATAAAATAGCTACTTCCGTAGGATTTCACACGATGATCGGCTCTTATCGATCGTAGCGTTTTATAGCCTAACCATAACCTACACAAAAATAATTGTTCAATTTTAAATTTCGAATCAGTCGTTCCAGAGATAAGCGCTTTCAAACAATCTCTTCAGCCTTATAGTATTAGTACAGATAACTACATTATATTATACAATGTTTTAGCAAGTGTTACGATTTCTGGTCTATATATAAATATATAAATAAGTAGAACAAGTAATTACTTATGGTATGTGCGTAACTGCGAGCGCAGAATCAAACCTCATTCACGAACGAAAGTGAGTGCCAACGACCTTTGATAAACTATTTTTTTTTTATTTAATAGTAGGCTGGCAAAGAAAGCAAAACCATTACAAATCGAATGTTATCTTTTTATACAATAAAGTACAATAAAATTTAATAAAACATGTATTTTTGTTACATAGTAGGTACATTTTCTAACTAAAATTGAATATTATTGCACGCACGATTTTTGTGTTTTATTAACTTTACGACTACCTATTCCTTAATTACTGGAGCGATTTTTAATAAATTTTGACACTGTGATAGATTAGTAAAACATCCTTGAAAGTAATTAAGAGACGACAGGTGTCAGATTAATTAACAAAATATGGATAAGTAAACTACTAAAAAATCTAAAATATTGCTACAAAATACAGATTTTTGTAGTTTAAAAGAGAGATTTTCGTGTTGATGTCGATGTCACACTCGTCGTAAAAGAGCTAAGTATTTTGTTGCCAAAAAGCTATTTTGATCATAACGTTCCATTTAAAACCATCAATATAAATCAACGTATTGGTAATGTAATACAGATTTTATGTGCATATATAGGTACCTAAATAAATATTTTAAGTGAAAATCTTACCGTCGATGTAGGTACCTAATGGTTATTTAACGTCGCCCCTAGCTTCATTATTTGTTACAAAAGGAACTTTTATCGAATTTGAAACGAGGTGATCCGCAGAGAAATAAGTTGTTGATAGAGCCCAAAAGAGTAGCAAAATGAAGTGGCACTGGTGGCAGTGGTAGGTCACATTAGTCGAAGAACCGATGATCGTTG